TTTTAACAATGACAAAAGTAGCAGGAAAGTCAGGAAGAGTGCAAATGAAGTTAAAGGAGTCTAAGGAAACTGAATTGCCTGAAAGCCTAGTTAAAAAAAAAAAAAAAGCCTTTAAGGAAAAGTATCAAAAGAAATGGGAAATCTATTGAAGAAGTCGAATTTGTGAAGAGAAGTTCCTTTCAAGAGAACTTCCGGCCACATGGATTCACGATAAAATTGTTACAAGCTCTTAAAGAAAATAGTAAGATGCTTCCATTAAACTAGATAAATAGAGTAATGGAATAGACAGTCCAGAAACTGACCCACATACAGGTGGATCTTGGATTTACATTGAAGGTGCTTCTGTATAGCAGATGGGAAAAATAATCTTTTCAAAATATTGTTCTTGATCAATTTTTCAATGGAAAAAGATGAATATTGACTTCTGCCTCATACCATTTACATAATTAGCTTCCAAGTGAATTATGTCTAATAAATAGAAAACAAAACAATAAAACTTCTAGAAGAAAGTAGAGATGAATCTCATCATGGGCAAAATTTCTCACAGTGCCAAAAAAGTACTATCCTTAAAGGAAAGGATTGAGAAACTCAAACTATATTATAATTTAGAACATCAAAGACATCATCCACAGAGTAACATATAAGTTCGAGAATGGGAGAAGACATTTGTAATACATGTAAGTCGTAATAAACATGGATTCAGAACATATCAATGGTGCTTACAAATCATTTGGATTTAAAAAATCAGTGTTAAATTCTTAACTGGGCAAGAACATTTAACTCCACAAACCTTTTTATCGAAATGACTAGTAAATAGATAAAAATCACGAGATAAGTATAATTAAATTAAATTAGAATACAGTATAATGCCACTACATACTCACCAGCAAGGCTTCCTCGAAAAGACTGACAAAAAGTAATTATTGGAGAGGATAAGAATCCACAGAAACTCTTGTACCTTGGACCTAGTATAAGAATTTTGTAAAACTTGGGCCTCCCTTGTGGCGCAGACAGTTGAGCATAGCACTATGACGCTATCCACAACCTCTGCAGTGCCGGTTCGATCCCCACCAGCCTCAGAGCAACCCACATGGCAAGCAGACCTCTCCTGTCTCGCCCACTGCTCCTCTCAGCAGTGTGTTTCAGTAGATCTGCCTGTTCTGTTCCCTGCTCTGTTTCTGGTGAATCCTCTCACCCTCCCGCACATCTGTCCTGTACCCCGGCTCTTGTATAAATAAAATTAATCTTAAAAAAAAAGAATTTTATAAAAATTGACAACTATTTTGGTAATTATTCTGACATTATCTACTAAAATTCATCGTAGGTATACTCTATGTATTTGTCGGGTACAACATATCCATTCATAGGTTTACAGCAACAGGAATGCATATACATGCACATCATAATACAAAATGTTGATAAACACACTACTTAAAATAGTTCCAGATTAGAAACAACCCAAATAGCCATGAATAATAGAATAAATAAATAATAGACTATCATATAAAAATAAAAATGAATGAGCTATATATGTCAGCATGGATACATCTCACAAAATTGACTGAGTAAAACGAAACAGACACCAAAAGTATTTATCTTATAATTTTGCTTTAATGTGAAATTTAAAACAAACTAAGCTGATCTATGGTACTAGCAGTCTCTTCTCTTTCAAGGAGAATGTAGTGAGTGAGGCAAGATTTTTGGGGTGTGATATTGCTTTATTTCTTGGTCTGAATGGTGAGTACTTAAGGATGATCACTCTGAAAATTATTTAAGCTATTGATTTTTGAATTGTAACTTTTCTGAATGTGCACTATAATTTAAGGAAAAGTTAAAAAGGTCGTGTCAGCTATATTCAATATATTTTGTATAAGATTTGAAGTGAATTTTACAACTTGCCATGTACATCCCAGACAAAGAGATAAGGAGAATATTCCATTGAAGGAACAATTTAAGTCAAATACACAGAATCAGGAGGATTCATGTTATTTTCATGTATTTGAATGTATCTTGAACATGAGACATATTTGGGGAGAAGGGCTGGAGATGAGGCTAAGAGAGAGATTGGATTCTGTTTGTTGAGTCATATAAACTGACTGCAGAGCATACATAGAAGTAACAGCGTTCTCAGCAGAAACCGTAACACAGAATTTTGGAGATTGGGCTGCATTTGAAATACTAATAGAGAAAGACTGACTTTGTCAATGGATTCTGAGTTTAGAACTTGACTCCTGTCTTTTTCTAGCTTGTACAAGAGTATAGAGTCCAATCTCATTTTAAATTGGTTTCTTGACTTGTATCAACCCAAAGTAGAGTCGTTTGGTCTTTTCATCTTGTACGAACAACTCTTATTGTAGTTGATTTTTTTTTTTTTGCACATGTCATTAAGTGATTTCCCCAGGTTTCAGAGGCCCTGAGCCCCCAGTGCTGAACCAAGTTGTCCACAATCTAAGGAAAGTTTATCTGATCTGACACTTTAGTATTTCAAGTGGGCCATGGATTGGCAAGAGTAACATAAACACCCACTTCATTTAATTTTTTAGTTAATTACCCAGGAATATCAGAAACTTGGGGCCACAAAGGGAAGGGACAGATGTAATGTATTCCATACATCCTCACTTGGCACCCAGAGTCCTTCACAGCAGTGAGCAGCTGAGAAAGGCATTGTTTATTTGGGGTGAGTCCTCCCATATCTCTCTGGACCTTGCCTTATGTGCTTGTTACTTATGTCACATTCTAAGAGAATGTTACAGATAACTGATAATTGTGCATGTCTATTTAAAGGAATGTTTTAATATACTGAACTCTCTTGGCTCTTGGCCTAGCTATAACATAACAACTCCACATTCTCATGTGCAGGGGAAAGCAGCATCCATGTACAGATGCCCTGAATCAATGGATTTGCCTCCAGCTTTGCAGTGTGCTAGAACATTCATTCTCATATAGACACAAATATTTTAAGAGGGAAAAAATTAGAAATGAGCAGGAATTGGAATTAGGGATTGCCTGAGTCTCTATAGCAAGACTCTTATTGTTGTGATATATGTCATGCCAGTAGTAGGTAAATTGTACTCTAGATTGTGGCAGAGGAGAAAAAGGAAGTGTGTCATTCCTTTAGGATCTAAGTCACTCACGGGCAGTGAATTTTCAGCGAGTAATGGACTTGGCTTGTTTTATTAATTCCTTGAGCCTAAGGAAAGTTGCTAGACTTCCCAAAGGAGCTGTTTTTCAGGATAGGTTTTGGAAAAGTGGGTGCCCTGCTTAATTCCCTATGCCCATCCCATATGTCTTTTTTTTTTTTTTTTAGGCTCAGCGGATATTTATTTTTTGTTTTTTATTTTAACACTTATTAATTTTTTAAATAAATTTTATTTTTATATTCCCCATACTATTGCAACCCCCCCATTCTGACCCCAATCACTCCCCTCCCGTCCCACCCCCAAAAAAGTGTCTCTGGTTCATAGTTTTTTGTTGATTTTGATTTTCACTTTCTTATAGTTATTCATTTTCCTGGTCCCTTATTTAAGTTTTCTAGATTCCTGCTATGAGTGAGACCATCCGGTATTTTTCTTTTTCTTTCTGGCTTATTTCGCTGAGCATGATCCCTTCCAGCGCCATCCATGTTGCTGCAAATTGCATGTGTTTATCTTTTTTGAATGCTGAGTAATATTCCATGGTATATATGTACCACATCTTCTTGATCCAGTCATCTATTTTTGGGCATTTGGGCTGTTTCCAAAGCTTAGCTATTGTAAATAGTGCTGCTATAAACAGGGGTGCAGGTGTTCTTTGGAATTGATGTTTCTGTGTCCTTTGGGTAAATACCTAGGAGTGGAATTGCTGGATCATATGGAAGCTCTATGTTTAGTAGGTCCAGAAATCTCCACACAGCTCTCGAGAGTGGTTGGACAAGTTTGCACTCCCACCAACAGTGCAGGAGAGTTCCTTTTTCTCCACACCCTCGCCAACATTTGTTGTTGCTAGTTTTTTTAATATGTGCCATTCTCACTGGTGTGAGATGGTATCTCATGGTAGTTTTGATTTGCATTTCCTGATTACAAGTGATGTTGAACATTTTTTCATATGCCTGTTGGCCATTTGCATTTCCTCTTCAGAGAAGTTTCTTTTTAGCTCTTCTGCCCATTTTTCCACTGGATTATTTTCTTTGTTGTTGTTGAGTCTCATGTCTTACTGCCCTTTTGTGACAGAAATGAGAAGCCTCTCTGGGAAGAAGATGCATAGGAGGTCAGGACAAACACGTTCCCTCTGTGCATGACTGATGCTCCTTGGCTGGTTATTCCAAAGATGAAAATTTGCCAAAACCAATCTGGAACTAGTTTTTCATGCTCTGTAGATTCGGTTTCAATTGTGTGTTTAGTCTTTGCTCTGTTCCCTCAAGGTCTGATGAATGTGAGCCTTGCTGCATCACAGTGTCAGCAATAAGTATGGTCATTACAGGGGTAGGAAGACAGGCAGGTTTCTGTCACATGGATAGAAGCAGTAAGGACTAAAAAGTTGGTGACAGCTTAAGAGTTATTGGGTAATTTGAGCCTGGGACTTAGTAAGACCTGTACCCTTCCGGAATTATCTCAGCCATAGCCTGGTGTTCAGCCCTGCAGAATTTCAGAATCAGCTAAATCACCATCATTGTCAATGTTAACATTAATTGGGCCCCTACTGTATACTAAGTAGTGTCCTAAGCATTTATCTTAGGGATTTATTTAGTTCTCACACTAACTCTAGGAGATAGGTACTCCACCATGATTGGGGAGGAAAGGAAAGGAAGCCAAATTATGAAGAGCGTTTGTGCAAGGCCATGCAGCTAATGAATGGTTAGAACTGGAATTGAAATCTGCAGTCTGACCCCCAGCCCATGCTTATAGTCAGTATGCTCTGCTTCCTCAGTAGTTGCTGAGGAAGTATCAGGAAGGGAGAAATTGTTTTTCAGACTAACACAGATTTACTTAGTAATATATCAGGACACCAACATACTAACTTACCATGGAGGGAAATCATTCCAGAGCTTCATTGTCCAATATGGTTGACGCAGCCATGTCTAGTTACTAACTGTATTCCTGGTGTGAAGTGAGGTGTGCTGTAAGTATAAATACATGCTGGATTTTTAGAGATTAGTGCAAAAAATTATGTTTTGGATATGTTAGGTTGGCTGAAGTACATTAAAATTAATTCCACCTGTTTCTTCTAGAAAATTTAAAATTATATCTGTGACTTACATTATATATTTTTGGTTTTAAATCTTTTCTTTTTTTAAGATTTATTTATTTTTATACAAGAATTGGGGTACAGGCCAGAGATGCAGGGGGTGAGAGGATTCACCAGACAGAGTAGGGAACATAACAGGCATACGGACCGAAGTACACTGCTGAGGGGAGCAGCAGGCAAGACAGGAGAGGTCTGTCCCGCCATATGGGTTTCTCCCTGCTGCCTGGGAATCGAACTCCTGCTGCAGTGTTTGCGGATTACTTCATAGGTTGTGTCTTAACCCCTGCGCCACCAGGGAGGCCCGTTATATTATATTCCTATTGAACAGCACTGTTTTGCTGTTCCTCCTGCTTCCCCCACCCAGGACTTCTGTACTTGCTGTTTGTCTGCTTGGACTTCTCTTTCCTCAAATGTCTGCATGGATTCTTCCCCAGTGTTTTTGAAGTCCCTATCAAAACATTACTGTTATATAGATCTTCTCTGGCTGTCCTGTATAAATAGTAACAAAATAATAAGCCTCCACCCCATTCCAGCACTCTACCTCCCCTTCATCTTTGTTATCATCATCTGATGTATTATAAGTTCCTTTATGTATTTACCTCATTTACCTCAAGCATAGACATTAAGGTTCCATGAGGCTAAGATGTTGTCTGGTTTATCACTTTGGAACAGTCCCTGGCAGAGAGTATCCACTCAATAATTATTTGTTGAAGGAATAATTTGAATGACTTCCACATGCATTTGTCTAATGAGTGGATGGATAAATAAATGATGACTATATTGTCTTGGCATCAGGAGAAGCTATTATTTTTCAATGAACTGTTTCTCTGGGATGACTTTACAGTTCTTTACTGGGACAAAAGATTTAATCAGGACTTGTCAGGAACTCTCAGATTCTGCCAAGATAGCATCTCACTCACAAATGGAAATGACCACACAGTACTGGAAGTGAAAGTTTGTCCTAGAAAGCAGTGTTTGGATATGGGGAGAGGGAAAGAGAGAATTGGGCTGGCCACAAAGCCACCCTCATGTTGAAAAACCTTACTGGTGAAACTTGGATAGCTGTTAGACTAAAATTATGTGTTTGCACAGATAAAAGTAAGTATCTGCATGTGCAGCTGGGCCCATGCACTTTGATTCATGTAAATTCTTAGTTAAATATGAACCTTTATATACCTAAATAGAGACATGTGTAAGCTAAAGAATAAAAATTAAGGATCCCAAAAGTCCAAAGACTGTAACTTTCCAAGGACTGAAGGCTCAGCGGAACATTTGATGCTGAGGGGATTAGAAATGTAGAGAAAGTTTGAAAAATTTCTCTAATTCACTTGCAGTTTACTGGACATTCTTATCTGCTGGGGCTCGATCTATGTCAGTGAACAACAACAGCAATAATGGTCCCTACTTTTATAAAGCTTACATTCTCATAGGTGAAAACAAACAATAGGGAAATAAATCCAAGTACATATATGTTGTTCATAAATACTATGAAGAGAAGAAATAAAATAAGACATGATGAGGGAGTAGAAGATAGTGGAGTGCTTTGTTTTGAGGATTTTTTAAAATTCTACTTATGCATATAACAACTGGGCTGTAGGACAGAGGTACAGGGGGTAGGAGGAGCAGAGACAGAGTAGGGAGCAGATCAGGCAGATCTACAGAAATACACTGTTGAAGGGAGTAGCTGCTGAGACAGGAGAGGTCTGCTGCACCATGTGGGTTAGCTCTCTGACTGGGTATCGAACTCATGCCCAGTGGCTGGTGACAGCGTGATAATGCTGAAACTTAACACCTGCACCATCAGGGAAACCCTGGAGTGCTGTTTTAGAGAGTTAAGTTGATGGGGAACTAAGTCTTACTTAATAAGAAGTTGAAAGACCAGCAAATGCAAAGACTTGAAAAGTATGTTTGTTGGATTCAAGAGATATAAAAAAGAATGAATTAAGTGAGGCTAAATTATGTAAAGCCTTTAAGTGATGGTAAGGAGTTTGGATTTTATTCTGATTACAATGAAAAGCCACTGGGCACATTTTAGCAGGGCCGTGATAGATCTCAGTTTACCAAAGAATAGCTAAAGAAAAATTCCTTTGGCTGGTCTTTGGAAGATGTACCATCGTGTACACTAGTAGAGATGAAAGATAGGTAATTGGCTATTACTGCCATCCAAGTAGAGAACATAGCAGTGTGAATTAGAATATTAGCAATGGAGATGGTAGAGTCAATAAGATGTATTGATGAAGTGGATGTTGGGTGTGAGAGGTGAGTAGTTGAGCATATTTTTATTAGTCAAGGTAAGTTAGGTTGTGTTGTGTTAACAGACCACTTAAAATGACAGAGGCTTAAAGCAAAAAGGAGGGTATTTCTTATGGACATTTGTATCATTTATGTGTTAATTGGTCTTTAGTATTCTTGTTATTGTCCTCACCCTAGAATATAAGATGACAGGGAATATAGGATAACTGGATGGTTGCCATTGGTGGTTGCCATTGGAAGGGGAAAAGAAAAATTTAGAGATTTTCTCACTGCAGCAATTAAATGGTTGGGCTGAAAATGACACGCATGCTCAAAATAAGTTGGCCAGAGTCATCACATAGCTCTACCTATTACCAAAAAAAAGTATCAGTGTGTGAGTGTAGTATCATTAAGTATCAAAAGTATCAGTATGATTGTAGTTCGTTAAGAGTTGAGAGAAATGACTCCTTGATAACCATCCATGTTGGGATGACTGTTAGTAACATTATATAAGTGGTGATGCTTGGGAGGGATGGGTTTTGGGAAGGTTAAATCAATATTTCTGTTGTAGTCACGTTTACTTTAAAAGCCTGTTTAGTAGATTTGATATAGTGCCCACTGTTTATATCTCCTTTGTTTTCTTTGCTTCTGGAGACAAGTTCTCTTAAGATACTTCTCAAGTTTGTATCATGGAATGTTTTTCTTGTTTTCTTCTATATATTTTATGGTTTCAGGTCTTACATCCCAATCTTGTATCCATTTTGAGTTGATTTCTGTGCATGGAGTAGTCCAGTTTCATTCTTTTCCATGGGTTACTCCAATTATCCCAGCACCATTTGTTGAAGAGACTTACTTTCCTTATTTCAGCATGTATTCTTTGTTCCTTTGTCATAGATTAGTTGACCATATATATGTGGTTTTATTTCTGTGATTTCAATTCTATTCCATTGGTCTATGTGTCTGTTTTCACACTAGTACCATGCTGTTTTAAGTATTATGGATTTGTAGTATAGTGGGAAGTCTGAAATTGCAATACCCTCATTCTTCCCCATTTTAGTAAGGAGAGCTTTGACTATTTGGAGTATTTTTGTGATTCACATGCTGGAAATATGAATCTAGAGGAAATATATGACTAGAGGAATAAAGTTGAGCATCAAAAACATACATGTGATGTTTAAAGTAATGGAGAATGTAGGTTATTGAAATAAAGAAGAGGACCAAAGACAGAACTCTTGGACTCTTAACAAGCTGAGGTCATTTGGAGAAAAAGCCAATAAAGAAAATTGAGAGGCTATAATGGTAGACAGAACCATGAGAGAACATGGTATCTTAAATGATCTTGAGAAGTAAATCTTGCAAGAAAGGAGTGCTGAAAAGTAAAGGGAAATGAGAATTAATCATTGTCCTGGCAAGATGTTAACCTCTCTGATGATGTGATGTGGGCAACAGACTAATTTGAAGCTGCTTGTTGGTTAAGTGTAATATTGATGAAATTAGGTATAGACAACTTTTGGAAGAGTTTTCCTGTGACCATCGCAATACAGTGTGGTTGATAATAAGTAGGGACATGGTATCAAGAAGGTAAGAAGGCAGAAGGGGGAACAGGTTTTTGGGCAGGATGATGATTTAGTCATTTGAAATATTTTGATTTAAGAGAAAGGCAAAAAGAGGAAAATACTTTGCTATTAGTTGGATGTATGAATTTCAGCAGAATGAAAAATCAGATCTGACATAAATATTTAGTAGCCCTCTGCATAGAGAAAAGTTGAACCTGGGAATGTAGATGAGTTCTGATTGGAAAAATGTAGAGAAAAGTGTGGAGAGATCAATATTGAGCCTTAGGGAACACACACATTAATAAAATCAGAAGAAAGTGTAGCTCATTAAGAGTTGAGAGAAAAAGGTTGAATAGATTATATGTCATAGAAATCAAGGCAAGTTTCAATTCCTATTCAAGGGGTTTTTCTTCCAGTTCTATGTTTTCATAAATATGTATTCCACATTCTGTAGTTTTAGGTCAAAATTGCAGTAGACTTTACTGTAGCTGATTAAATACATGGCTTAAGGACTGTTGAACTATTAAGATCGTGGTTTTTTAATCTCAAGTAAATGGGATTGATGCTCTTCAATTTTCTATTCTTTTTGCTGTAGATTTTGCTCATTGGTTTTCAACAGTCCCTAAACTGACATAAAATATAGATTTTGCTAGTATCATTTGCATCACTGTCTTTTTCTCCTCCTTCCTTCCTTCCTTCCTTCATCAATTATTGTTATTCTCAAAACAATAATTTTTACTATTAGACCTCTTTAGACTACTTTGATATTTTAATAGTTTGATTTGAACTCCTGAGGGTTAAACATTTTAGTATCATAGAACATATTGACAACATTTTTGATTGTATGTTTAGTACTTATTGAATGCTTACTTCAAAGATGTGTATTATTCCTGTCCTAAGTTCTTTCACTTCAATTTCCTAGGAAAAAATAACAGACAGGAGCAAAATACATGTTCAGAGGAATAGAACATATTGAGGCTATAGTATGTGGAATTTCTGGAAAAATCAGGCAGAAGGTTCTTCTCTATTCAGAGTTTCCTCTCTGGCTATTGGAGTGTATGTATATGGATAGCCCTGGAATATAAATACAAGGCAAGGTGATGTCTACATACTCAAGTGGACTCTTTTGTTAGGGCATTTCTTTTTTCAAATTGGGAATATTGTGGTCATATGACACCCCTCCTCTGGTGTATAATTTGGCTCTCTCTCGGTTTTCTTGGTCTGTTAGATTCCTTGGCTCACACCTTCCTTATTCTCACCCTCCTACCTTCTTACTTGCTCTTTTTCTTTCTTCCTACCCTCCTTCCCTCTTCCCTAATTCTTACTCTTCCTTCTTAATTCCTTCTATCACTGACTTGATACCTACCTAGTACTCAAGACAGTGACCTGAAGTCACTATTGAAATTCTTCTTTCCTTAAAAATTCCTTCAAAACTCATCTGTTCCTGTAGCATTTGACTTGATTCATTCCTGTCTTTCTGATTGCCACTGTTTTAGTTCAATTGCTCATTCTTTTCTGGGTTATTACCATGATATGGACCACAAACCAGCTGTATGAAGTGTGAGAAGTGAAGTGTGAGGAGCAGTTTGAAGGAGGGAGACATTGGGGGTGGCATTAGAACAGTTAGGAAGATATATACATGTGAAACTTACTCCATCCTGCATCCATCCAGAGCAGAATTGACAATTTTGCATTGAGAATCCATTATATTCCATACATATTTTTCTTCTAATGTCACTGTACATATATGTGTAAAATGTCTACTAATGTAGCTTCTTAGTGTCAGGGACCTTGTCATTTATTGTGGAACCTAACATTCAGTAAGTTTTCTATGGTTGTTTGCTGAATGATTAAATAAAAAGGAGGTCTAAATGGGCCCAGTGGCATCAGGAATGGAATAGAGAATATAAATGTGAAATACTTGTTGAATATGGAATCAAATGGACTTATCACAAATTGATACAAGTGGCAATGATCAGGATGAATCAGATATATCTATAAAAATTTGACCTTGAGTGACAATTAGCTGGGGTTAGGGAATTGGAAGGAGGTCTTGATGAGTTTGCTTTTAGGCAGGTTGATATTAAGTTTCTGCAAAGAATTTTAATTTTGGATAGATATTTATTCCAGCAGACAATTCAGATTTGGTTCCTGAGACTTGGAGATTGTTTAGGCCTTGAGATAAAAATGTGTGAGTGGGAGAAATTATAGAGCTAGAGTAGTGAAAATGAAAAGAGAGCCTTATCAGGTGCTTGGGGAAAGCCTGTTGTTAAGAATTTTGAAAAGTATCTGATGACACAAGCAGAAAATGAGTCATCACAGAGTTATGTGGAAGAAGTGTACTGTCAGGAAATCTTGGACAAGACAATTTTGAGGAGGGAGGAGGGAGTGATAGAAAATAATGTCAGCTATTGCACAGATATCAAGTATCCTGATAACTGAGGACTATTTAAATTTAATTAATAGGACATTAATATTCCTAATTCAGAATTTTTAACTCATGAGTTAAATATGTTTTATATGAGGAAGCAAACTACATAGTATTTTGAATGCTGCAGACACAAGGTGGTAAACATTCTCTCCTTTTTCATCTGTCACTACATAAAACTCCTTTAATTGTTTTTTTTTGGAATTGTATCTTCTAGTTACAGTCAAGTAGAATCCAGCGATAGGACCAAAGAGAGAAAGGCTAAGTGTTTCGATTTATTATGGTTTCACTTTCTACATTCTCTGCTCATTATTGGATGTTCAGCAGTCGACTTAGGTATACTATAGAATTCCACTTGATGCCTTTTTTTTCTTTGCCCTAGATCTAGGGACATTCTAATTGGTCTTTATTTTTATCCTTTTCTATGCCTTCACAGTTCAAATAAAAATAAGTGGTCCTAGATAGATTCTATTAACATTTTAGGTGCAGTAGGCCATAATTTCCTTCAGGACAGCTCATAAGGAGGCCAGGAAAGATGATGCCATTATTCACTTCTCTTCTAAATATTTGGATTGTGGTAAATACAGAAGATGGATTTTGGTCAAAATTTGTCCAGTAGAAAACCAAAGATTTTCTACCTCTGTGATGAAAGAAAACCCAGACAAGGGCATGGCCAGTAAGTGGCCCATTAGCATTGGAGAAAATAGTAACCAGGACCTCCCTGGTGTTGCAAGGGGTTAAGATGCAACCTAGGAAGCTATTTGCAGCCACTGCAATGCGAGTTCGATCCCCGGCCAGGGAGCTACCCACATGGTTCAGCAGACCTCCGTCTCACCCGCTGCTCCCCTCAGCAGTGTACTTCAGCCAATCCACCTGTTCTGTTCCCCACTCTGTCTCTGGTGAATTCTCTCAACCCCTGCACCTTTGGTTTATACCCCAGTTCTTGTATACATAAATAAATAAATCTTTAAAAAAGAAAGAAAATAGTAACCAGGTGGGCTCAATCTGTGCATTTCCAGGGAAGGTCCTTGGAGATTTCTGGAATCATAAAGTTAATTATTCATTATTTACTTGGTTTACAGATTGAAACACTTTACTATTCTATTATTTTAGTGTTAGCAACCCTTTAGGAAGCATTTAATGAAACATCTAATGATGATTGCTTCCATGCCAGTCCTAAAATCAACTGAACATCAAGGAGTCAGGGGGAAGGGTGGGTAGGGTTTTCCAAAGTCTTGGCTTCCTTTGAGGACATCTATTAAACCTTTGATCATAGGAAATTCTCACAATTGTCATATATTCTCTAGATTCCTTTCTTAGTCTTTGTACCTTTGGTCACTCCATTGGCCTGATTAGATGGTTACAAGCTTTCCAGTTGCTGATTTGGATGTTAGTCCAAATTTCTAAAGGACATTAGTAAATGAGCTGAGTACTGATTCCAGCACACAGCACCATGTGAGTCTTTGGTGAAGTTTTGTTTGTGACCATAGGACTCCCTAGATGGAAGGATTTCCTGAGAGGTTGTAACGGCATTGTAGTTAAATAAAGGTTTTCTACACTACTTTGTCCACAGTAGTTGGAATACGTGGGCCAAGCATGAGAGGACATTTGAGAGTCAGCTAAATTTGGGTTAAATTCTGGTCCTGTTACTTGAAAGTTTTGTGAGCCTGGGAAATCATTTGATTTTTCCATGCCTCAGTTTCCTCATCTGTAAAATGAGATGATGAGTATTAACAGGAAATTCTAAATGCAAAGTATCTGTTACAGTTCTTGGCACTTAGTAGCCATCCTTCCCTAAGATGGGGTGAATCCAGCTATACTACATGGTCAGTAGTAGGTGGATAACTGGATACCTCAGCAGATCTGGCCAGCACAGCATTCCCAGATTCTCCAGGAAGTCATCAAGCCCTACAGCTTTATCTCTGAATTTTTCTAAATTCTCCCCCTTCTTTTCCATTTTCACCATCATTTTTCTAGACCTGAGCATTATATTCTTATATTTAAAGATTTTTTTATAATGCCTTATTGGGTTGCCATATTGTCCTTCATAAAATTCATTATAGATGTTTTCCCTCTGCTCAATTTTGGACCCGGGATTCTCACTGCTTATATTCCTTTTTAAGACAGATTTGGCATGAGCCTATTTTATCAGCTTAATCATCTATTTTTCATTGCTTCGTGCATCCTCCCTCCTGACACACAGGTCTTCTTTCAGTCAATACTAATTTTTTCATTGTACTTTTTATACTTTTGGTCTTATATATGTCATGTTGCTGAAGTTTTCCAAATTGTTTTACTACTTTTCTTTTTTTATTTCCTATGTGGCCACCAGCTTAATTTTTTATACAACTTGTCACCTCTCGTACCTGAGAGGCTCCAGTGACTTTGCTGCATGCAGGAATCTTCCGGGGTCTTTCCAAGTCTCCTTATCTACCATCACTCCCTCTTTATACAATTCAGCTCTCTGGATCACTCTCCAATTTATGAATATGCTGAGATTTTTTACCTTTGTCTCTCTTTATCACGTAAAGAGAAATATCATTTACCTTCATTTTTCTTCTGGCTATTAGCACTCTTTTATCAATTCTCACCTTAGTTTTCTGTCCTTCAGAAACCATTTTATGATTGCTCCTTCCCCTTGCCTATAGGTTGATTAGGAGCTCAATACACACTAGAGTAATTTGAAATATCTTCTTAAAAACCTTTCTCATGCAAATTGCTAATTTTTATGACTATCTCCCCTGCTAATAAAGGACATCTTTGTTGTATCTTTTTCATCTTTGTATTGCCACAGACTTTGACAGCAAATAAATAGATAATAAGCACACAAATAATGGAAATAATGTGTAGATGTCTGTTTCCTGTAATGGAATAAATTCTTTGAAGGAAGAACCAATATCTTTCTTCTTTCAATCTTCCATATTTCCTAATACGCATAATAAGTGTTCGGTAAATGACTAACAATATATATGTCTTCCTAATGTATATGAGAAATGTTAATTAAAGTTATGCAATAAATATGTATACACAATATATAAAGCATACATATTAAATGTGCTTTGTCTTATTTTCACTTTGGTTTGAATTCCAGTTGAGATGGGTTATGAAAGTTAGCCAGCTTCTTTGTATTATGTAAACATATACTTAATAAAACTATGAGATCAAAAACCTCATAGCAAAGTTCAGCTGGTAATTTTAACTTCAGGGTCTGGGTGCATCCAGATTATAAGTATTGGTAGGTCCAGAGAATTTTCTAGTCTTTGATTCTTTACTTTAAGAACTCCATGTGTGGCAATCCTTGAATAACCCAGGCTTGCCTGGGAGTTATTGTAAGAAAGAGTTTAACAGTAGGTGCATTAAATTTTGGTGACTGCGATAACAAATTCACACACTTGGTGACTTAAAACAGTACAGTTCTGTTAGTCAGAAGTCTAAAATCCATTTCCAGTTTTGCTGGGCAGTAATCAAGGGTTCATCAGGGTAGTGTTCACTTCAGAACTCTAGAGAAGAATGTTTCCTGCCTCTTCTAGTTTCTGGTGACTATTAACAGTCCTTGACTTGTGGCCTCATCCATCCACATTCTTTTTCTTTTTCTTCCTCCCCCCTACCCCCCTTATAAGTGTACAGGTGATTATATTTAGGGGATTGACCTAGACAATTCAGGATAATCTCAAGAGCCTAAACATATTTACATTTGCAAAGGCTCTTTTCCAATACATTAACATTTACTTATTAGAATCAGGGTTTAGAGCCTGTTATCTTGGGGGAACATTTTCCAGATTACCAAAGAGACAGATGTCTTTGCCTCTTTGCAGAATCAAAGTGCTTAGTCATCTAGAAACTTGGTTTGCATACTGACTTACCTCATGAGTAAACCCCTTCCAAATTGATGGTCCTTTTAAATGAAGCTGGGACCTGCTATCAGGCAGGGACTAGTGTAGGTCAGTCTGATGCCACTGGACAAATGAGTATGGTAACATTGCCAGCTATCATTATGAAAATAGACAGTTAATACTTATTGAGTTGCTGATGAAGGGACTAGAAGAGCTGGTGGGGTTGTGGACAAGCTTGCAGTGGCAGCCAGTTCCTACCATATGGCCCTGTTGTGGGTGGATCATGGTCCAGTTCTGGGAGAACAGGTGTGCTCAGCTGGCCTGGCACATGCTGTGTCCAGCAGTAGCTCTTGCCATCAGTTTCATCAGGAGAGTCACAAAGGGCCAAGGTGGACACTGGGGGGTGGGGAGGTATTGAGGTGGGGTGAAGAGAGAAATAGGGTTGTCATGAGTGAGGTCAGAGCAGGGCCTTCATCAATTTGCAAATTAAGGAGGAACTTAGGTAGAGGAGCTGGGCATGCAGATGCCTCTGGCTCCTCTGTTTATCCTTTCATGTCTCTCATACTGTCCAAGGAAAGCGTAGACTCTGGGAGGGATCTTTCATGCATTATTGTTGTGCCTCCTGCCTGTAACCCACCAGCCTAATCCACAGGCAGCAGAGACTAACTTACCTAGTAATTTCTTGTATAATACAACTGGTTGGAGAAGAGAACTTAAAGAGACAGTGACTTCTTTTCTGTTGTGTAAAGTCAGTAATTCTTGAGCACATAAATCCTCAAGCCAGGCTTAACCTGCCTTTCATTCTGGCAGAAATTTAATTTCTGGCAGAAATCAAAATCTCTGATTCTTAGTTTCCTTTCTGGTAAAATGAGTACATAAACCACAATATGGTATGCCAGGAGTGAAACCAATACTTTAATTACTTAATCTTCTAATCCTCCCAACAACTTTGTGAGGCAAGTGTACCATTATTATACCATTTCAGAGATGTGGAAACTGAGGTGCAGAGAAATTAATTGTCTGGGTTATACAGCAACAAACAGTAAAGCAAGAATTTGAATCCAGTTAGTGTGCCTTCAGCAATTGTGCTCTTAACTATAGTTTATGCTGCTCTTTATTCCTCAAATTATTGTGGGGATCAAATAGGATGGCCATCTATCCCAGGTGGTCTAGAAAAGTTCTGGGCTTCATCTTTATTAAATGTGCCCTTTTACTCTCAAGAGAAGTGTTGTATCTTGATTTGGGTATTTGTCCCTTGAAACTTAAATAATTATATGTAAAATGGTAGGAGGAATGCTTGGCCCACAGGAAACCTTCCTTAATGTCAACTGTTACTGCATTTTCAAGTACATTACTGCCACCAATCTAACCACAATCAGCCCACGTCTGCGAGGCTTAGAGCTAGGTGATTAACTCAGGCTCTGCAGATGCATGTCATGGGAACCACCACTGACTGGTCTCAGACCTATCACAGGCTTTGCTCCTGGTCAGAGCACAGCAGTTTTCCCTGCTTCTGTCCTAGGTAGTCACTCTTAATTGATCAAACTTGATTTATGAAATTAAAATTACCTGCCATACCTGTTTCATTGGCAGATCCCAGTGTATGGAGAGAATGTAGAGTCCAATTTTAAGCTGATCTTGTGTGTTTCTCCATTTATATTGAAACTTATTTGATCCCTAAAGATGATAATGTATTTTGTGTCTGTTTAGACACCCCTTATGCCTTTCCTTCAATACTCTTCTCCACCTATTTCTACTTCTCGAAGAAGTTCAATTCATAATGGTTTCCAATTCTCTGTCTATAATTTGGTATCCTATGATAAAAAGTCATTGAAATCCATAGAAATGGGCACAATATAAATAAGGAGTGAGTCATTGTAGGAATTACACTTGACACCTAAAATCCAAGACTTAGAGCTATCTTTAAATGTGATTTGTGTAACTAGTAGTGAAATTCATTTTAGCTTGGTTTTTGCATAGCATAAGGGACATCTAGTGGTTATGTAGGTCTCTGCAGATTGACAAAAGGTAATGTGAAGTCATAAGTATAAGTGCTGGAGCTAAGTTCTGTCACCTATAAAGGGAGCCCTTCTAGAGAAGGTTGGCCTCACGTGTTGAATCTTTATTTTGAAGTTAGTAAAGGGTAAATAAACCTGTTCAGAAAAAAAATCTATTTTAAGTCCTGGCATTTCTATCTATATTACTGTCAGTTTGAACCCAATTCTTATTTGCAGTATTTGCATCAGGTTGGAAATGATTCTGTTATCAGCTACCTGCCAGCTTGGCATATCCTTCTACTTTTCTTACCTCTTCCACTGATTGCAGAGGGGCTCTTTGGGCCACTTTAAAAAGCCATCTGATTAGAGCCTTCATTAGGCTAGAAGCAGAACTACTTAGCGGGCTAGGCAAGAAATAGTTTGTAATTGCTTCTTACAGGCAGAGCTCCTTCTTTGGAAGCTGCTCAGCCATCGAGGAGTCACACAGCTCTGCTTCACTGGTGCACTTTGTATAAATGAACAGGCTTCACATTGTAGAAGGATGAACTGTAAAATCCCTGTGCAAACTTGCCTTCTGAGCTCCAGAGTCCTTTTGGAACTTGGCCATCACCAGCATCTCTTGGTACAATGTGCCACTATCCATGGTTCTGAAGTCATTGTTTCCAGTTACTGGACTGCATAGAACACTTGTTTTCCTCATATACTCTTATTGTTCAGTCAGCATTTAGACTTCTTGAAGGTTCTGTTTCATTGAATCTTTTTAAATCATATTTCCCCTTTCTTTTCTGCTTTTGGACCTTTCCTATTATCTCTTTTCTCTTTCTCCAAAAGCTGTTTAGCAGTCTTATTGTAATCTGTCTTCTTTCAGGAAAGTGGGTGGCAACCAGAAGTTGCTAAGAATGGTCGAAGGGTTCATTGTTGGGGATTCATTCCCGCTTTTATTTCCTCTGAATATAAAGGTTCTGAGGTACTATTTAAAAATTTCATTGTGTTTTTCTATAACATTTCAAGCTGTATTGTTGTAAAGAGGTATACAGTTGTCCCTTAGCACACTCCAGAATGGAAGCAGTATTGTGCTGAACTGTTAGCCAGTCTCTAACAGGATCTTATTAGACTTTATGATTGGCTTTTATTGTTTCTTCTTTTATTCTTCTACCAAAGACATATAAACTAATGACAGCTGCCACTCTGAGGCACAGAATTTTCCAGACTGATAGACTTAAAACATAAGCACATTTCTTAAGCAGTCACAGTAGGGAAAACTCAACTAAATATTCAGTGGTTCCATCATGTTTTTTTTTAGTTGCCTGTAGTATTTTAGATGTCTACCTTTTCACCTTATTACCATCAAACAGAATGAATAGAAACTATTATCTGCATTAGAGTTCTCTTTGACTTGGAGGCATCAGGGTATAGACTGTGTGGCCCTCCTTGCCTGCCTTCCTACCTGTTTTTTCACATTGTCCAAAAGACATGTATTGACTTTGAGTCAGGCATTAGGACAGGCACAGGGTGACACAGAGAAGTAATGCACAAATTCCTCCACTCGAGAAGTTCTCTCTCTACTGGCAGAGATAAATAATTAAAATAAAACATGTTGCATCCTTTGAGAGCACTTAGAACATGGAGCTATGGGAGCAGAGAAGAGGAAATCAGCTGTGGGTATGGGTTGAGTAGTTAAGAAGGTTAGAGAAGGCTTCTCAAAGAAAGTGCTAATTGAACTGTGCCTCAGATGGTAAGAAATGCCATCTGAGGAATTACTTATTTAGATAGAGAATTCAGGTAAGTTTGAACATCCTGATTTATTGGACTAACAGCAGAATTTTGGCAAGACTGATGACAATGAAGTAGGAAGTAGATCAGGAAAAGTCTATTATGTAGTGCTTAAAAGTTTGCATTTTATTCTGAGGTTGATAGCAAACCATTCAAGGATTTTAAGCAGGGAATGACATGTTATCCCCAGGGAAAACAGTGAAATAATTAGAGTCATTTCTAGTCTTCAGAATAAAAATAACAGTAGATTCCTAGTGATTCAGGAAGACACCTTCAAATTGTGTCACTTTTCTAATCAAACTGCTAAAGGTTCCTTTTCATCCTAATTGTTTGTTCCCCCTTTTCCCCAACTGCATAACGTCTATATTTTTAGAGCTTTTCATAATCAGGTACCACCTACTCATCTGATCTTAGCTCTTCTGCCTTGTGACATGTAACATTCACTCTAGTCAGGTTGGTGCCCTTATCAAATATTCTGAGACAGAAGAAAATGTAGGTGTTCACTGGGTATGTTTGTTTAGTACATAGATAAATGCAAGAAGTTAGAGTATGTATTTATTGAGCCTCTACTATGTCCCCAACACTTTGCTAAACACTGGAAATGTATTGGTTTACCATGTCAGAAACACACAACCTCCTTGTTTGTGAAGCTTACAATCTAGAGGATCATACCATTTCCACTACTGTAAAAGCAGAGGGAAAAGAAGTACTATCTGAGTCAAGTTTCTGATCATAGGCATATTGCACAATCATGCAATAGAGTGGCCAAGATATCTCACTCCAATTCTGATACAAACTATACCTTTCCCTCTAACCCCCCTCCACCTGCAGCTTTGAGAATTTCTCAAATGTTTTCTAAGCCAGTTGATGGCAGGGAATATATCTCATGCTCCTTTGTAATCTCTGTGATCTAGAACTAAAGCTATAGTAGTTATTTAACATATTTATATGGATTTTTTTGTTTCCCATATTCTAGAATAGGTAGTCAGCTCACATTAAGTTGGCTTTGATGTCAGGGGGTGACAAGGGAGGAGAAAAGGTTCATCTCAAGTTCTAACTTCTAGAAACTGATGGTAATCTGTGGAACACTACCTTGAGAAGGATTCTAAGGCTCCATCTGGGTTGATGGAAGAGGGAGTAGAGTAGAATAACAGCAGTTAACCATGAATTCCATATGCTAGGTAGGAAGAGAAGAGGCACATATTTGCCAACATGACTCTAAAAGATGGGAGAGTTTGTTATCCAGGTGTGACTAAAAAGATGATCTGGCAAACTTTTCTAGATAATCCAGAAGCTCCCATTCCCCTATCCATCAACAAGGCCTCTCTTAAAGAACTATGGCCCATACATGCAAGTTCATATCTTATTTCTTTGCCTAAGTCTGTCTATGCCAAATTCCTGCTTCATTAACTTCGTAGACATTTAGTAGTCTGCATGAAGATGATAAAACCTGAGTCAGCAAATCTTAACTTGTGATAGGCTGAGCCTTTACACTATCTTAAAATATCCCAGAAGCTTAATTGTCTGAAAATTTTTTCTGTGGGATATATGAACATAT